GCCCACAGGCAAGCGGCCAAGCGTGTCCTCCGCTACCTTCGGGGGACCAAGGACTACGTTCTTACCCTTGGCAGCCCCTCCCCTCCCCTCCTCACTGGCTACTCTGATTCCTCCTGGGCTGACTCTAGGCTTGACCGCCGCTCCTCTCAGGGCTATGGCTTCTCCCTTGGCAGCGGCCTCATCTGCTGGCACTCCACCCGATCCTCCTCCATCGCCCTCTCCTCTTGCGAAGCAGAGCTGTATGCTGCTACCATGGCTGCGTAGGAGGCTCGTTGGCTCACATTCCTTCTTGAGGAGCTTGGTGCCCCTCAGCGCTGTCCCACCATCTGGTGCGACAATGCCAGCACCATCCACCTCACGAAGGATGCTGTGTTCCACAAGCGCTCCAAGCACATTGAGCTTTGCCACTATTCGCGAGTTTCTGCAAGGTGGCCACCTCTAGCTGGGCAAGATTGACTCTGCCGCCAATCTTGCCGACATCTTCACCAAAGCCCTCCCGCACACCGCCGACTCATCCCTCCTTCGCCTTCTTCGCCTTGCTCCCCCCGTTCTCTCGTCCGCCTCTTCATTCAGGACATCTAATGTCATGAATATTGGGGGGTTGTGTTGTAAAATATATATCTATACAACATGCATGCCTAGATTAGGAGGTGTAGTCATTATAATTATTGGGTGGTTGTTGGTTGGGTTGACCAACTCCACATTTGGGTTGGTCAAGATTGGATTTGGTCCTAGACATTTGGTTGGCACAATTCCAACCAAATGGTCCTTGGTCCTAAGAACCAACCAATCACCAAGCACCACACTTTGTGGTTGCTTGCCTTCCAAGCAACCTCTCCCATTGGTCCACATTGTGGCCAATCGGAGAGCACCACACATTGTGGTTGCTTGCCCTACGAGCAATCTCTCCCATTGGTCCACTTCAAGGCCAATAGGAGAGCTTCCCTTCCAACTCTTTCTTGCTCGTTGTTTTGTAAAATAGAGTCTCTTGGCTCCCTATCAATTCAATATTTTCTCCTCAAAAGCTAGTTCCTTCAGACGGTAGGGTGGGTGACGGCAGGGTGGGTGACGGCACGCTGGGTGACGGCATGGTGGGTGACCGTTGGGTGGGTGACGGCAGGGTGGGTGACGGCAGGGTGAGTGACGGCAGGGTGGGTGACGGCACAGTGGGTGAAGGCAGGGTGGGTGACGTCAGGGTGGGTGACGCCAGGGTGGGTAACGGCTGGCTGGGTGACGACAGGGTGGGTGACGGCTAGCTGCAGGGTGGGTGACGGCAGGGTGGGTGACGACAGGGTGGGTGACGGCAGGGTGGGTGACGGCACGGTGGGTGACGGCGGGGTGGGTGACGGCAGGGTGGGTGACGGCAGGGTGGGTGACGGCTGGCTGGGTGACGACAGGGTGCGTGACGGCTGGCTGCAGGGTGGGTGACGGCAGGGTGGGTGACGGCAGGGTGGGTGAGGGCAGGGTGGGTGACGGCACGGTGGGTGGCGGCAGGGTGGGTGACTGCAGGGTGGGTGACGGCAGGGTGGGTGACAGCACGATGGGTGACGGAAGGCTGGGTGATGGCAGGGTGGGTGACGGCAGGGTGGGTGACGGCAGGGTGGGTGACGGCAGGGTGGGTGACGGCCGGGTGGGTGACGGCAGGGTGGGTGACAGCACGGTGGGTGACAGCAGGGTGAGTGACGGCAGGGTGGGTGACGGCAGGGTGGGAGATGGCAGGCTGGGTGACGGCAGGGTGGGTGACGTCAGGCTGGGTGACGGCAGGGTGAGTGACGGCAGGGTGAGTGACGGCAGGGTGGGTGACGGCAGGGTGCGTGACGGCATGGTGGGTGACGGCAAGGTGGGTGACAGCAGGGTGGGTGACGGCAGGGTGGGTGACGGCAGGGTGGGTGACGGCACGATGGGTGACGGAAGGCTCGGTGACGGCAAGGTGGGTGACGGCAGGGTGGGTGACGGCAGGATGGGTGACGGCCGGGTGGGTGACGGCAGGGTGGGTGACGACACGGTGGGTGACGGCAGGGTGGGTGACGGCAGGGTGGGTGACGGCAGGGTGGGAGACGGCAGGTTGGGTGTCGGCAGGCTGGGTGACGGCGGGGTGGGTGACGGCAGGGTGGGTGACGGCAGGGTGGGTGACGGCAGGGTGAGTGACAGCAGGGTGGGTGACGGCTGGGTGGGTTACGGCACGGTGGGTGACAGCAGGGTGGGTGACGATAGCGTGGGTGACGGCAGGGTGGGTGACGGCAGGGTGGGTGACGGCAGGGTGGGTGACGGCAGTGTGGGTGACGGCAGGGTGGGTGACGGCAGGCCGCGTGACGGCAGGCTGGGTGTTGGTAGGGTGGGTGACGGCAAGGTGGGTGACGGCAGGCTGGGTGACGGCAAGCTGGGTGACGGCAGGGTGGGTGACGGCAGGGTGGGTGACGGCAGGGTGGGTGACGGCAGGCTGGGTGACGGCAGGCTAGGTGACGGCAGGCTGGGTGACGGCAAGCTGGGTGACGGCAGGGTGGGTGACGGCAGGGTGGGTGACGGCAGGGTGGGTGACGGCAGGCTGCGTGACGGCAGGCTGCGTGACGGCAGGCTAGGTGACGGCAGGCTGGGTGATGGCAGAGTGGGTGACGACAGGGTGGGTGATGGTAGGGTGGGTGACGGCACGGTGGGTGACGTCAGGCTGGGTGACGGCAGGGTGGGTGACGGCAAGTTGGGTGACGGCAGGGTGGGTGACGGCAGGGTGGGTGACGGCAGGCTGCGTGACGGCAGGCTGGGTGATGGCAGAGTGGGTGACGACAGGGTGGGTAACGGCAGGGTGGGTGACGGTAGGGTGGGTGACGGCAGGGTGGGTGACGGCAGGGTGGGAGACGGCAGGCTGGGTGACGGCAGGCTGGGTGACGGCAGGCTAGGTGACGGCAGGGTGCGTGACGGCAGGGTGGGTGACGGCAGGGTGGGTGACGGCAGGGTGGGTGACGGCCGGGTGGGTGACGGCACGGTGGGTGACGGCAAGGTGGGTGACGGCAGGGTGGGTGACGGCAGGGTGGGAGACGGCAGGCTGGGTGACGGCAGAGTGGGTGACGGCAGGGTGGGTGACGGCAGGGTGGGTGACGGCAGGCTGGGTGACGGCAGGCTAGGTGACGGCAGGCTAGGTGACGGCACGCTGGGTGACGGCAAGCTGGGTGACGGCAGGGTGGGTGACGGCAGGGTGGGTGACGGCAGGCTGCGTGACGGCAGGCTGCGTGATGGCACGCTGGGTGATGGCAGAGAGGGTGACGACAGGGTGGGAGACGGCAGGCTGGGTGACGGCAGGCTGGGTGACGGCAGGCAAGGTGACGGCAGGGTGGGTGACGGCAGGGTGGGTGACAGCAGGGTGGGTGACGGCAGGGTGGGTGACGGCAGGGTGGGTGACGGCAGTGTGGGTGACGGCAGGGTGGGTGACGGCAGGCTGCGTGACGGCAGGCTGGGTGTTGGTAGGGTGGTTGACGGCAAGGTGGGTGACGGCAGGCTGGGTGACGGCAAGCTGGGTGACGGCAGGGTGGGTGACGGCAGGGTGGGTGACGGCAGGGTGGGTGACGGCAGGCTGGGTGACGGCAGGCTAGGTGACGGCAGGCTGGGTGACGGCAAGCTGGGTGACGGCAGGGTGGGTGACGGCAGGGTGGGTGACGGCAGGGTGGGTGACGGCAGGCTGCGTGACGGCAGGCTGCGTGACGGCAGGCTAGGTGACGGCAGGCTGGGTGATGGCAGAGTGGGTGACGACAGGGTGGGTGATGGTAGGGTGGGTGACGGCACGGTGGGTGACGTCAGGCTGGGGGACGGCAGGGTGGGTGACGGCAGGATGGGTGACGACATGTTGGGTGACGGCAGGGCGGGTGACGGCAGGGTGGGTGACGGCAGGCTGCGTGACGGCAGGCTGCGTGACGGCAGGCTGGGTGATGGCAGAGTGGGTGACGACAGGGTGGGTAACGGCAGGGTGGGTGACGGTAGGGTGGGTGACGGCAGGGTGGGTGACGGCAGGGTGGGAGACGGCAAGCTGGGTGACGGCAGGCTGGGTGACGGCAGGCTAGGTGACGGCAGGGTGGGTGACGGCAGGGTGGGTGACAGCAGGGTGGGTGACGGCAGGGTGGGTGACGGCATGGTGGGTGAAGGCAGGCTGCGTGACGGCAGGCTGGGTGATGGTAGGGTGGGTGACGGCAAGGTGGGCGACGGCAGGCTGGGTGACGGCAGGCTGGGTGACAGCAGGCTGGGTGACGGCAGGGTGGTGACGGCAGTGTGGGTGACGGCAGGCTGGGTGACGGCAGGCTAGGTGATGGCAGGGTGGGTGACGACAGGGTGGGTGACGGCAGGGTGGGTGACGGCTGGGTGGGTGATGGCTGGGTGGGTGACGGCAGGGTGGGTGACGGCAGGGTGGGTGACGACAGGGTGGGTGACGGCCGGCTGGGTGATGGCTGGGTGGGTGACGTCTGGGTGGGTGACGAAATGGTGGGTGACGGCTAGGTGGGTGACGGCATGGTGGGTCTTTGTATGGGATGGGAGATGGGATTTGAGGCTTGTGAGTGGGGGGAATATGGAGGGGCCGCTAGAGGGGTGTAAGAGTAGTAAAATAAGATGGTAAGGGGGAATGATAGGACTTGGGATGTGAAGCACAAGCGAGATGAAAGGGAGAGGTGAATGCTCAGGTCATGCACACAGGAAGCAGAGGCATGCAAACAGACACACCAATAAATCAAGCACGAATACAAGCTACACAACTTCCTCTCCCAACTCAGCCATTCCTGCTCCCCTCCCTCCCTCTGTCCTTCCCTCCTCCCTCCATTCGTTCCTCCCGTTCCCCTGTCCCTCCTTCCCTCCCCTCTCCGCCTGGACTGTCACTCTCCCCCTGACCCCTCACCCCCTTCAGTCTCTCAATTGGTCCCTTCAGTCTCTCTCTCCCTCCTCTCCATGCAAACTCTATGCTCCTCCCCACCTTCTTTCCCCCACACTCCCCTCTCCCCGTGTCCCCACGGCCCTACCCTCACCTCCACGGCGCGCTGCGGTGTGCGGGCGAGGCAGCGGCGCACGGGCAGGGCAAAGCAGTTCTTGGTGAAGACGAGGTCCTGGGAGTCGAACCAGTCGTCGGGGCACATGGTGCGCGGCTCGTAGTCCAGGTAGCGCAGCAGGTCATCCTCTGAGGCATCGCACGCGTATGCCTGCCACAACACACGGTGCAGGAGGGCGGATGGCACAAGGCCGGGGCATCGAGCAAGATAGGACGAGAGGGAAGGGGAGAACGGGGGGGGGGAGGAAGGACGTGGGGGGGAGGAAAGGGGGGGGGAGGGGATGTGTCACATGTGCATTGGCTCGTACTCCAGGCACCGCAGCAGGCCACCCTCTGTGGCTTCACACGCATAGGCCTGCAGCGTGTGGGGGCGGATGGAGCAAGAGTGGGGCATAAACCACGAGAGGACAAGAATAGCAAGGGCGGGGGTTACAAGACCAGATTGAGTAGAGTGGTGTTTGGGAAAGGAAGGGAGCATGTTGATAAGACGCCATGCCATGCCACGCCAGCCGTGTGACAGCACTTGACCCAATAATACTGCGTGCGCGCCTCACCTTCCATGTGGGCACGGGCCACGACACCACCATGCCATCGCCGTGGCACGACGCCATCACCTCGCGCGCCCTGTCCATCACCTGCGCACACACCACACCACACCACACCACAACACACCACACCACACCACACCACTCCCCACCACTCCACACCACACCACACCGCACCACACGACACCACACCACATGCACGGGAGGGGGGAGGGGCTTGGCTTCCGGTCCAGTCCATTTAGGGCACATAGCCTGCATGTACAGCACTAGCTCCCGCTCTCTTCACCCCCCCTCCCTCCCTTCCCCCTTCTGTTGGTCTGCCTGCCTGTGCGTGTACACTGCAAGCGGCACACCCACCTGCGCTCAATATCCTCACATCCATGCTTCACACGACCTCATCGAATCATCCCTGCTCGTAAGCCTTGTCCCTCCCCCACCCCAATCACTCACAGGCTCACCAGAACTACCACCCCCCCTGGCTCACTCCATTCAAGAACTCGGGCAGCAGGCGGGCATTCTATTCAAGGTCTTCCTCAGCGCGCCCCCCCCTCCTCTACCTCCCCTCCCCCACCCACCCCACCCGATTTCCTTCCCCCCACACTCCATCCCTCCCACTCACGGCCTTGGGCAGCAGGCGCGCCTCCCAGTCGATGGCGCTCTCATCGATGCGCTTGTCCAGCTGCATCTTCTGGCTGTTCACCGCCCGCAGTTCCTCCTGCCGGGGTGCCGCCACCACCCATGGAATCATGGCATCATGGCATGATGGCGTGATGGCATGATGGCATGATAGCATGATGGCATGATAGCACGATGGCACGATGCCATGATGGCGAGGTGGTGTGATGGCACATGCAAGGAGAGAGAAATAAAGGGCAAGCGTGCGTATGAGCGATTGAGGACGGTCTGCCGGAGTCTCAGGGTCTGCAAATGGAAAGCGAACATCTGGTGTGCTGTGTCGACATGGCATCTTTAGACGGCTCAGAGACGCCAGTAGTGGAATGCGGGCGCCACGAAAGAAAGCAAGAACGCTACCTGCCAAATAGTGTTATGATTGGAGGGTGGAGATAGAAACGCAAGAGCACTACCCACCGCATATATGTCTACAACATAAGCTGACCATGCTCTGGTATTCCAGGAGATGGAGCATCACAGATGTTTCCACCCGGTCGGGTGCTACAAAAAGGCATCATGTGCGGTCCCTCTGAATGTGAAGAAGAATGTAGGCACAACCAGGATGAAATAACTACAGCTGCAGGCTCCTTCCGAGGCTACAGGCTCCTTCCGAGGATACAGGCTCCTTCCGAGGCTCCAGGCTCCTTCCGAGGCTACAGGCTCCTTCCGAGGCTACAGGCTCCTTCCGAGGCTACAGGATCCTTCCGAGGCTACAGGCTCCTTTCGAGGCTACAGGCTCCTTCCGCCCTTCCGAGGCTACAAGCTCCTTCTGAGGCTACACGCTCCTTTAGAGGCTACAGGCTGTCTCGTTTCTAAGGTTGCACCAAACGTCTCCTTGTTTATCGTTGTGTTGTCAGCAAGGTGCAAAAAAACGGTTTCCGTATTAAACGGTCCGTTTTTTACGTTCGTTTTATACGGCAGATTTATGCAAATTCTACCGTTTTTTTGTTAGATTTTTTTTTTTTTTTTTTTTTTACCCTTAACTTCAAAAAACCGCTTGGCTACGTGCATCTAAAACACCATCCTTGTCCTCCTAGACCTGCTTTCATTGTCTTTCTCGCCCTTCCTTCACCCTCCTAGTTGTCCTCCTCCTAGTCCTCCTACTCTACTCCGGCTCTGCTCCTCCTCCTAATTGTCCTCCTCCTCCCCACCCTAGTTCTCCCCTTCCTCGCTCTAGTCGCCCTCCTCCTCACCCTCCTCACCCTCCTCGATATAAATCGAACTTCCGTTTTTTATGGCGGTATGAAAAAAACAACCGCATAAAACGGCCGTTTTTTTGCACCAGTCAGAAGACACCACTTTTAACCGTTTTAATCGTATTAAACGGCCGTTTTATACGATCCCGTTTTATACGGTAAAAAAGAGAGTAAAAAACGCCGTTTTTTTGCACCTTGGTTGTCAGATGTGGAAACCAATGAGGAGTCACCCTAATTTTGAGTTGAAGGGATGTTCTAAATTCCAGGGGCAACACAAGAGCACGTTGTCAAATAAATCTGCACTCTAACTGTTGTTGTGGTGCAAGGTTTTAAAAAAACGTCGTTTTTTTCAGAAAATCACCGTATTATACGATATCGTATTTTTCGGCCGTTAAATACGATAAAAAACGATTCCGAATGTTTCATTTTCACTGGTGGAAAAAAACGGTCGTTTTAATCGACCGATTTTTTTAAACGTAATGGAGTTTGCAAAACGAACAAATTTGTTACACATTTCTGCGGTTGGGTGTACACCCAACCGCAGAAATGTGTTCAGTCAACACATTCCCAAAGCGCGGCCTCGACATTTTTCCGAGGCGCGCATTTCGGACGGTTCACCAAATCTGTTGCGAAATTGTCGTCCGTTTCGCAACGGGCTGGTTTAATTTTCGCGCCCAGTAGCATGCGTTCGCGCAAAACGGAACGCGTGCTACCGAGGCGCATTTCGAAATTGGAGCAGCATCCAATTTCATCCCTTCCACCTCGCTCATGCACAGAGATCCCAACCCAATCACTCACAGCACAAACTACAAATCCATTGCTAAAAAACAGAGCCAAATTCAACAGAGATACCTTAAGAGTGAAGCACGTAAACTGACGCCCAAGCTAGCTGGGGCGATTTTAGCCCGCCCAATCCAGTCCGTCGCATGCGCGCATTTCATCGCCCGTGTACGTCGATTCTAGATAGCGTACTTTCGCAATGCCGCGCACCCCGTCGGCTTTGTGGGCGCACGTGACCCGCACCCAAGATGACCATGGCAAGGTCATCCGGACGGAGTGCAACTACTGCAACATCAACATTACTGGTAGCGCGACTCGCATTCAAGAGCACTTGTACGGCACCCCGGCTTTCAAGTTCAAGAATGTGGCGGAGTGCAAGAGCGAGTTCGCTAAGAACCTCCGCACCAAGGGTCTCACCCCAACTACCACCTTCTCCAACATCCACGGGTCCACATCCGCGGTTCCAGCTCCGGCCGTCAAGCGCAGCCGAAATCGGGACATCCGAGGGATGGTCGACAAGGCCGGTCGCGACGCATTGGATCTCCTTTGGGCCACCGCCGTCGTCGAAAACGATTGGGCCTTCCGCGTTTCACAGTAAGCATGGCCCGAGATTTTCTCATGCACGTGCATCTTACCACGTCCTTTCTAAACTTGTCGCGCTTGCTCGGCATGCTCTGCCCAGTGCTCTGACTAATTACCGCTTCCACCCCACCCCCCTCACCTAGGTCACCCGCCTTGCAATCGTTCGTCGAGGGGGTGGTCGCTTACGGGAAGCCGTACACGCTCCCGAGTGCGTACAAGGTCTCCCACCCGCTCCTCGTCAAGCTCAAGGCCGACACGGATGCCCTCATGACGCCGATCCGGGACTCGTGGGCCACGACCGGGTGCTCTCTATCCGTTGATGGGTGGTCGGACATGAAGAACCGCGGCCTTGTTTGCATCATCGCCATGAATGACACGGCGCCCGTTGTCGTTGGCGTGGTGGACACCAAGACGCACAAGAAGACGGGCGCCTACCTTGCATCGCTGATCCGCCCGGCACTTGTGGAGGTGGGAGATAACCGCGTTGTCCAAGTGGTGATGGACAATGCGAGTAACAACAAAAAGGCGGCCGACGAGCTCCGCGATGGGTACCCCTCCGTGTTTTTTACGAACTGCGCCGCACATTGCTTGGATTTGATGCTTCAAGATCTCGGGTCAATTGGGGTGGTGAAGAAGGTCTTGCTTCAAGCTCACCGGGTGGTGATGCTTGTTAAGAACAGCTCTACCGCTGTGAATCTCTTCCGAGAGGTTTACAGCGAGCTTGAGCTCGTTAGACCGGGAACCACCAGATTCGGCACCCAAGTGATCATGGTGGGCCGGTTCTTGGAGGTGAAGAGGCAAATGCGAAACATGGTCATAAGTGAAGAGTGGGGGGAGGTGCCGGCTGCTAAAACAGAGGAGGGGCGCCGAATCCGCCGCCTCCTCCTCGACGATGCTTTTTGGGGCTCGGTGGAGGTGGTGTTGAAGCTCATGACGCCGGTGTACGAAGTGCTCCGAGCGGTGGACACACGTGCTCACCTCATGGGGCGAATCTACGGGTTGATGCTTGACGCCACGATGAAGACCAACGAGGCGGCCGAGCGGGCTGGTATGTTCCCCACCCATGCTCCACATGCACCATGCGTGTCTTTGATTTCTTGCTTGTGTACACGTCCCACACCCTCCACACCATACCCCACACTAACTTGTGTCGTACGACTTGACTTGGTCGTGCGTGTGCAGCCACGTATTTCGTGAAGAAGACCGGGCTGCTCATGGCCAAGGACAAGGCGTCCTTCTTGGCCAAGGTGCGTCGGATTATCGCTCACCGTTGGGACGGCCAGCTACATAACCCTCTTCACGCGGCTGGTTGGCTCCTCAACCCGGTCAACCGTTTTGCCGAAGAGGTTCGGGGTGATTCCGAGATCTTGAACGGAATGGATGAGGTGTTGAAGGCGCGTGCGGCGGACATTCAAGGTCGCACTCTCCTTCGAGCCCAACTCGCCCATTACCATAGTGGGAATGGGAGTTTGGGAGGCAAGGAGGCACGGTGGGCCGCCACCAATTTGGTGGAGAGCGGGAAGCTCTCTGAAGCGGAGTGGTGGTCCACCTTCGGGGGGGAGGTGAGGGCGCTTCAGGAGATGGCCGTCAAGATCCTCTCCCAGCCCTGCACGTCGAGCGAGGTGGAGCGCGCATGGTCGGCCTTCAACCGGGTGCAGCGACGTGATCGCAACCGGCTGAGTTCCAACACCATGATCGACGTCACGGTGGTGGCGTTCAGCCGGCGATCACGAGCCGCCTTCGATCGGAAACAGGCAGCCCGTGAGCGCCTCTACGCCGACCTCGGGTCTAGCGCGTTGGGGGAAGGGAGCGTCCCTCCTTCCCTCACCGCTTCCTCTCAAGCGATGGGCGGGGAGGGGGAAGAGGAGGAGGAGGTGCAGGAGGAGGAGGGTGCTGGAGCGTGCACCATCGATTGGGCCACCTTTGGAAACATCGGTGCGCCCAAGAAGCGTAAGATGAAGGGGAAGAAGGGGCAGGGAGGGAAGAAGGTGTGCGGGGCAAAGAAAGGTGCTGGAAAACGCGGCAAACAGGTAGAGGAGGAGCCCGCCAACAGCACGCGCGATGGCGGCAGCGAGGGGGAGGAGGAGGATGGCCTTGGGCCATGGGATTTCGTGGTGGGAGGGGGTGAGGGTAAGGAGCGGGGGGAGGGGCAGGGGGAGGGGGGAGGACACGAAGATCCTGAGGAGGAGTAGGAGCAGGAGGAGGAGGAGGAGGAGGAGGAGGAGGAGGAGGAGGAGGAGGAGGAGGAGGAGGAGGAGGAGGAGGAGGAGGAGGAGGAGGAGGAGGAGGAGGAGGAGGAGGAGGAGGAGTAGGAGGAAGGAGGAGTAGGAGGAGTAGGAGGAAGGAGGAGTAGTAGCCTAGTAAGTAGCAGGAGGAGTAAGTAAGAGGGAATAGGTGGAGTTTTTCTCTGTAATTTACACACCCACCTTGCGTGCACCGTAGACACCAGCAGCGTAGTTGTGTGCTCTTTTTTTTTCGCCGAGAAAAAAAAAAAAAAAAACACGCCTAATAAAAAAACGTCGTTTTTTTCAGAAAATCACCGTATTATACCATCGAAAAAAACGATCGATTTTTTTCAACCTTGGTGGATGCATAAACAGTGCGTTTATGCTCATGAACGCCTCTTGAGGTCCCAAAGCTTTTTCCACAATCTGCACCAAGTGTTCAGGTCACTGATTCCTGTTCAGCCAAAGAGGATGAGGGTCTGCCAATACTTACAGCATGTTTGGGAAAGTTGGTGGCAGGAACGAGTCAAAGGCGGGGTTGGTCAAGGGTGCTGATACCACCAATACATGGAGCCATAGCACTGATGGCATGCTTGCAAAAACCAACAGTCACCTCCTCCAGCCTGACACCAAGACCATGCATCCCTGCAGCGCAGTAGTGCCAGCCAGCACTCAAATCCTAACCACCTCAACCCACAAACCGCTATCCCCCTCTCATACTGGTCCTCTGCTCCGCCCACCTCACTACCTACCTGGCAGCGCCCTGCTCACCCGCTGCTGCTCCACGCTCTTGGCCATGCTCTTGAGCCGGGCCATCTGGTCCTTGAGCTTGTCCCGCCACGACTTGTACGCCATCAGCACCCGCCGCTTTCCCCCCTCCCCTCTCCGCTCCTCTTCCCTTCCCCTTCCCTCTTCCCCTCCCATTTCCTCCCCCATTTTTTCCCCGGTTGACCCTGCTGCTCTTTGTGCTGCTTCACTGCTTCCTCCAGCCACTTTCCCTATGGGCATGGCATGGGAGGGGGGAGGGACAGGGAGGTGGGGATGGTGGGATATGGGGGAGGAACGAACGGGCAGAGGAAAGGGAGCACGAAGGGGATGTTGAGAGGCCGTGATATGCAAAAGGGGAAATAGGATCAAGTCGATTCACGCTGCCCCAGAGGGCATCAGTGATGCGGTGGCACGGCACAATTGGAAATAGACAGAAGGTGCGAGCGTAAGCTACAATGATCTCCATATACCACCAGGTCGCAGTCTATCTATCCTTGCACTGCTTAATATCCTGACGCCTTCTCTGACAGCCTTATGCACGCACACGTGCTTTTTATGCTGCTCACCTGGCTTGTACGTGTCATGGTACCATTGCCGCAGTCTCCCCAACTCCTGCGCGCATGCGCACTGTTCCGGCTCGCTACTGTGATGCACAGAGGGGGGCCAGGGAAGGGAAGCAGGGAGGGTGAGGGTGCGGAGGGGGGTGGGGGGGTGGGAGTTGGTGGCAGAGGGGAACAGTCGGTGGGAAGAAGTGGGAGGGTGGGTGGAGCATCCAAGGCATGTCAGGAGGCGCCAAGAAGCCATCACTAGAGTAACGATGGCAAGACAGAGCCCCGCCACCTGCACTGCGCAGCACCCGCCGCGGCAAGACACCATGGTCGCGCGGCAATCTCGGCCACACTGCGAGCTGCAAAGATCGCAGTCTTTCGACCCACCTCCGCCACGCCAGCACGCCACTCACCCGCCACGCCGCCACCACCGCGCCGCCCACCGCAGCGCAGCTCGTTGTGAAACGCGCAGGGATTGCTCCGACAGCCATAGCCACCGCCGCAGAGGCGACTGCTCGCGCGATTGGTTTCGCGATTGGTCACGCGACTGGTTTCGAGAACTGTGGGAAAGCGACAGCAGCAGCGAGTGGAAGAAGCTCGGCCCAGGTGACGGCCCCGCGACGACACCGCTCGGCAACGCGCCTTGCGCGGCCACGAGCGACGGTGCTAGGTGTAGAGTGAGCGCAGCGAGCGCGAGGAACGGTACTAGCGTGCTGCGGAACAGAACTGCTTTGGTGAAACGACGGCGGGGAGAGCGAGTAAGATGGATGCGCGCGTGACCGTGAGACCGGGGAGAGTGGGGAGAGTGGGGAGAGTGGGGAGAGTGGGGAGAGTGGGGAGAGTGGTGGCGTCGAGGCGTTGGTGGGGCGATGAAGAGGCTTGACCGCGTGGACATTTGCGGGATGCCGTCGTGCCGAGGCGCTCAGAAACACCTCGGGGGATCGCTTGAGACTCGGCGAGCGCAAAGGCTTGGCGGGACGGAGCAAAGCGCGGGTAAGAAGATTGGCAGCACGCGCCGAATGTCTCAACGTCGACCTAGCTTGCTTGGTGCACGGATAACTGGTCCAATTCTAGTCTGGAATCAGGAGTCCCGAGGAGTTGGAGAAGTAGACGATTAGTGGCGGTTGAGCCGAGAGCCTCCCTGGTGAGCGACGTCAGCGACGACGGTGGGCGTTGGCTGACCTTCTCTACGTGTCGGAGAGTAGGGGAGGGGCCTCGAGCAGGACCTGTGAGCTTCAGATCAAGCCTCGACCTGGATGCGCGCTTCTCGTCATGGCAGGTGGTGGGGTGGAGGTGGAAGGCTGGGAGGGTGGGATTTGCAGCTTTCTGGCTGGCAATATCCAGAGCGAGATATGGCAGACTGCCTTACGGCGTCCGAAGAGTACTGTGCGTCTGACTCACACGGATTGCGGTTCGGAAAGGTGCCATTTGGCCAAGGAGGATGAAAATAGTAGCTCTTAGAAAGTGGCTTCAGTGGGAAGAAATCTCGTTAGTAGCTTCCGGTGCTGCTCGGTTGGGCACGGTTAGATCATGATCTGTGCGATACAGGAGTTTCCAGTACGAAACTTTCTAAAAGTTGCAACTCAGGACACGCCCTCAGGTCACGTTATGAGCAACGAATTGCTAGAGGAATTTAAATCTGGTCGTAAATAAAGTACAACAACATCCCAAAATTTTAGGGTGGCAAAATCATTTCCCCAATAGTGCTGGCTTTGCATGCGGTACCCGCATGCATATTTGTTATCAGCTCTTTTCGTAGTGTTTGTTATTGTTTGATTTTTTTTGCACTGTAACATAGGGTTGATGTCGCGAATGTGTTTGTGTCGGTGGTATCTTATTTTGCCGCGGGTTTGAATTGAAGGGCCAAATATTTTCACCCGGCTGGTCGTCAACACTTCGACAGTTTTCCCACTTTTTCGGGGGGGGCTTGCATCAAACATGTATATAATATTATAGGCTAGGTAGGTACGTACTCTTACAGAGTACAACCCCACAGCACATAACATCCTGTATCTCTCATTCTAGTCTAATTCGTTGCTCTGAGCTATTGAGGACACGCACCTGCACTGACCTAGGAGAGCTGCGCTGCTACCTTGGCCTGCAGATAACTAGGGACAGAGCAGTGCGCACCATCACTCTCTCACAGTCACACTTGGTGCGCCATGTCGTTCAGAGGTTCGGTCTTCAGTTCTCCTCCGCACAGCCCACACCTCTGCCAGTAGATCACGCATATATGTATATGTTATTATAGGTTAGATAGTGAGTACAACCCCACAGCACAATCCACCATGCATCTCTTATTCTAGTCTAATTCGTTACTCTGAGAGCTTGGCGCGCTTATGGCAGACAGACTCGTCGCGCGTTCATAGTATTACACAAGACCGGCGCAAGTCACCTCAGGGTTTCGCGCTGATGGGTAACCCTGGGGGCCTCCGACTAGGGAACCAGCTGTAGAAGTTAAAAACGTGTTTAGGGTGGCCAGGATCTAGGGTTGGTGGAACCACGAGTAAAACTACGCGGAAGACTTTACACCTTGTATTGGAAATGTCATAAATGACAAGGATAATAATAATGAGAAATACAGGTATACTGTATTTATAGTCTAGGAAGTGATTTTCGGAATGTACCAGTTCGTAGTGTATCGCGATTAATTGCGTAACATTACTAGTGACTGTTCGTGTGACTAAGAGTGGCGTGACCCTTCGTGTGACTGTACACGCGAACCAACTGTTCACGCGTTGACTCGCTACTAATGAGGTCATCACGCGCATCCTTCCATATGAGGTATCGCGCTACTAGTACAGTCTAAGTGTTATATCAGGAATGCATAAGTAAACTGTGTCGAGTATACTTCAACACTCGCCTTCATTCCTGAGTGTATGTCTCTGGGTAAGTGTCGCCGCGTTTGCAGATTCCAACCAGGTTGGAGCAGTACTGAAACTTGCTGCGTGGGAGTTCCTTCGTCAGGAAATCAACTGCCATTTCTTCAGTAGGGGAGTATTTCATGATGACCTTCCCTTAGTCAATTTCGTCATTGACGAAGAAGTAACGGATGGCGATGTGTTTTGTCCTATTGATGAAGCCGGGCATGTTTGCAATCTTGATTGCGCTCTGGTTGTCGCAGAGTGACATGAAGTTACGTGTCGTTGTGATTTTTGCATCTTGAAGTAACTCCTGAAGATAGAGTCCTTCGCGAATTGCAGAGCTTGCTGCGACGAATTCTGCTTCGGCTGACGAAAGTGCGATGACTTCCTGTTTCGTTGAGTTCCAAGAAATGGCACCACCTGGTTCAAGTTTGAAAATGAACCCTATACGCGAACGCCTATTGTCGAGGTCAGCTGCGTGATCCACATCAACATATCCAGTCAATCGAAAATTTGCTGCAGTATTTTTCGTGTAGCTGAGACCGATTGTAGGAGTAGAAATGAAATATTGGAGGGCTCGACGAAGATCAACCATATTCTCCCCTTCAGGTCGGCGCAGGTACTGTGCGAGCTGACTCGTGATGTAGGCAAGATCTGGGCGGCATATAACGGCTGCAAACTAGAAGACACCCGAGCTGCTGCAGGTCAAGCTGATGCTCGGAGGCGGTAAGTGGGGTAGTATCAGGTGTGTGATTGGCCGAAATGTAACGAAATGGAGTAGAGGCTGAAAGGAGAGATGGCGAACTTTTCCGCAAGTGTTTCTACGTACTTGCTTGCATGATTTGGATGGCATCGGGGCCACAGTCGACGTTTAACCCAAGAAATTGGGTGATGCTGGAGGAAATAGTCACTTCAAGAATCATTTGGATTCTTTCCTCCATGCGCACCAAAAGACTGTTGCATGAGAGTGCCTGGTTGACTCTTTTCGGCTCGATCCCAGTCGTTGGTTGCTGAATTGCGACAGCAAGTCTGAGGATTTGAAGAGCCGATTGGTCACCACGAGGATGAGGTTGTCAAACTTCGACGACATCATCATCGTTAATTTCGGATGGCAGATGGCGGGCACCGTCATGTGATGCTGCGTCAGTGGCAGCCTGTGTCCTGGCAAGACGCAACGGGTCCGAGAGGGGAATGAAGAGCGGGGTTTCAGTCTTCTTGGCACGTGTCGAAGGGATACAGGATTCGAACAATGGTTCTTCTCGTGACGAGGGACCAGGTTCGGCTGCTGACGAGGATGGCTGCGGAGCTGTAGAAGGTCCTGTTGCTGCGCTGTCGGACGGATAATATTCTTCGGCTGCATTTGCTTTGTCTTGAGGAGTGGCAAAACTCCATTCGGCACTGTAGCGATCAGGATCCAGTAGCTGGCGTTCCTTGTCGCGTTCGAAATCATCGACAAAAGTTTATCGTAGAAGATGCAGTCTTGGGCATACAAAACCTTTCGGTTTTCGTAATCCATAATCTTCCAGGAGTAGGAATCCTTAGGTACATCGAGGTGTATTCCCCATCAAGCCCGTTCAATAAACCTGCCCACAGTTGCGCTCGAAGGTCTGTATTGGACCATGCAGCCCCAAACTCGTAATAGTCGAGTGTCGGCGGGGTGTTTTGTCCACATGACGTGTGGCGAGCCGAACTGAGGGAGAGCTGTTGAAGACAGGTAGTTGATATGCGGACAGCTTGCGCCATCGCAAACGGCCAAAAGTCACTTGTCAAGCTGGAATGTTGCAGTAGCACGCGCATCTTCACTTGCAGCGTTTTGTTAGTTCTCTCAACTACTCCATTCTGCTTATGGGCGTAAGGCACAGTCTTGCGCCTGAGTATCCCTTTCTGCGCCAGAAATTCATCGAACTGCTCGCTGGTGTACTCGCCCGCATTGTCTGTCTGTATCTCTTTCAGCTTGATGCCGTTCCGCGATTTTCAGCCATACTTTGAAGGCGTCGAGAGCTTCAGAAATGTGAGAGATATTCGTGTGCCAGGCATATCGAGTAGCACCGTCGATGAAGGTTATTATATAGCGGTAGTCGTTGCCGCAGATATCTTATGCTTCCTGCGGCATGAGGAGTATGTCGTTGAAAGCAACATACATAGGTGAGTACTTAGTTGCACTCATTAAGTGTGACGGGAACGGAGCGTAACTCAGGTGAGCTCCGGGGCAGATGGTGGAGGGTAGTTGATGATTGCTAGGTCGAAGCTCTTGGCCGTTGGTTAGAAGGAGTGCGTCCTTGTCGAAAACCGATGCTTTAATCGAGTTGTTGAGAGCTTCTTGCGAGGGATGACCTAACCGCTTGTGCTAGATTTCTGCTATAGTCCTGTGTCCCTTTGAACGCAGGTACAAGTCGGAGTGAAGGAAGAAGGCTGGCGAAAGATGAATTGTTGGCGTAGGGTTAATACAGCGGCTGGTGCTGAAAGGCTGGATGAACCCAGCTTCTTCTGTAGTTTCAGCCCAAGGTATGCCGAGGTGTTGGCGACGCGCCCAGGCATTAGGTACGACTAACTCTTTCTGGTCCCATGTGCGTTCAACCTCCATAGATTCTTCGACTAGCAGATGTTGGTTCTTGATTGTCGTAACCCCAATTTCCATCTCCAGATGGCCATGTACTTTGAACTGTTTCTGCTGCTGCTAATGTTGCTTCTGTTGGCTCTGCTGCATGTTCATCGAGGGAGTTGGTGCGAGAAGGCTGAGGCGTGACGCAGAACACATTGAGACCACGATGGTCTTGGCGTTGAAGATATGTTTCCCAGTGATGATGCCAACGAGCAAGTGAGACATTCTTCTCACTATCGCCAGATGCCTTCACAGGTGAAAACTGTAAAACAGAAACGCCGTCTTTAATTTCTGCGATGCCGACTAAATTGCCTTTGTCTTCCTTCTTGTTGCCCGGGCACAACTCCGTGAGCATCGTGTTGGCGGTGCTGATGAAGCAGATGCCACTTTCCATCAGCTGCGCTTGTGATAACAGGTTGAAGCCGAGTCCCGTGGCAATGAGAACCTTGTTAAGGTGAAGTGAAACTTCGGTGTCGTCGGACACTAGTATCACATCTCCAATTCTGGTGGCTTCAATAACTTGATTGTTGGCCACTGTGATGTTGTATTTTTTTCCGTTTGGTAGGTCTCGCCAGTTGAGGAGATAGCGACTTGAAGACGCCATATGGTGACCGCAGCAGCTGTAAAGAAACCAAGTATTAACGTGTTCGGGATACATACGCTTGGCGATGTGGCATGCACTCTACAAGATCTAGCGTACCCTCTCACTATCCTTGCTCGCTTTAATGTGACTGGCAGGCACCGACAAGTACACGAGTTGGCTGCCAAGAGGGTGCTGCAGTATCTGGTGAGTACATTAGGACTTGGGCTTGTACTAGGAGGATGGGAGCTAGTGGTGCGGACTGGACACACAGATGCGTCATGGGCTGACGACTTGGAGACACTCAGGTCCTTACAGGGATATTCTTTTTGTCTTGGTTCTGGTGAAGTCTCCTGGAGGTCCACT